TGGCTGGGCATCGGGCGGCGGGTGGTGAGCAATTGCACTGTGCATCACTTGATTTGTATATTCTTTTATCATTATTATTATTATTTTCTGTCCTATTAAACTGTCTTTATCTCAACCCATGAATTTTACTCTTTTTTTTTCCCCGATTCTCTCCCCCACCCCTCTGGGGGGAGACTGAGCCAACGGCTGTGTGGTGTTTAGCTGCCTGCTGGGTTAAACCACAACAGGTGCAAGTGCTACCCTTTCCATCAGCATTTAATCACCACCATGGCCATCACCAACTTTGACTGTTGGCGTGAACAAAAGAGTCACAGCAAGTAGTATCCACTGTTCCACCTACCCCAGGTAAGGGGGTCTCAGGGACAGACTCAAAAGGGGCAGGCAGGGCAGAGTGAAAAGCACTGAAGAGTGCGACCTCACCCACTCAAGGAGAAAGGGACACCTGTGAATGAAAACATGTGCATAAGGCACCCGAGGGAGTTCTCTTTTTCAGCAGGCGTCTTCGGGCCCTCCAACCCTGCTGGAAAGCAAGCTCCAGCTACAGGCAGAAAAACAATAATTCATTTACTTACCCGTGTTTTCTTGCATGAAGTGTCTTTTGCAATGTGTTCCGATACATTGCCTCTCCCTGAAGCCAACCTCCTGCTGAAGCTTTTCACAGTTTGTTGTGAAGGAGAAGATGAAGCCTGCTAACTCCTGCTTTTGAGTACAGAGCCTGTACTTGAGAGGTCAACTGGGGCTCAGAGTGACCATCTGGACAGAAAAGAAACAGCAAATTCCAGCCATAAACTTGCTTTTGTACAATGGTGCTCTGCAGAGATAGAAAGAAGGGTCCTACACACGATGCAGCAGAGGAGGTGGTGGCCACTGTAAATAAATTCTAGTGAGGAAAAGAGCTAATGAGTGGGTTATAGTGTGTGGAAATAAGGTAGAGGATGACTGCAGGGCTGGCAGTAATCAGCCTAAAGGCAGCAGGTGAAGCCCAGAGGGAGCTCTCCATTCTCAGAGGATGCTGCAAGGATAAATAACACTTTTCCTTACCAGACACATGCACAGAAGAGCAGCTTATCCATGTCAGGTAGTTATATGGCTCCTATTATCAAGTAAGCACTTTGCAATCTTTGCTGTGTTTATCGTCACAACACCCTGATGAGGGAGGAAAACACAATTCTCTCAGACAGGAGGAGGTTTGCCTGGGTACATTTCGACCATGGCAGGGAAAATAGCATCGGTGAAGCCAAAGCGAGTAGGACCCAGACTGTCAAAGACACTTCAGCCTCTATATCCCACAGGAAATCACTTGGAAGTCAATGTGCAAATACGTCTGAGGATTTTGACCTAAGTGACTAACCCGAGCTCACACAAGGAGTCTGCAGCAGAGCAGGAGAGTTACCTCCAATGTTCTCAGGGAAATCTTACTTTCGTTCCTGCTAAGACAAATACACCCACCGCAGACACGAGCATCCTGCATTAGCGTGGCATTCACCTAGCCTCACAAAAAGTTATAAAGAGAGATCAAAGCTGTTATTTTGGCTGCCTGACCATTCCTCGTCTCCCAGAAAACCCCGTGCCTGCAGCAGCCAGGTCATTTAAAATGGATTGATTGATGCTATTAAATCTACCCCCTAGGAATGAAGCCCTTACTGGCAAGACCTGTTTTTTCCTCTAATGTCCTTACCTTGTGCCAAATAAATAGTGTTGATGTCACATCATTTGCAAAGGACAGAAATCCTCTGCAGAGCTGCAACAAACAGCCCTTCTCCCATGCCAGTATGTAGCGCACACATCTTGGGGTAATAAAGCCTTCATTTCATGCTTCAGCACACCTGATCCAAGGCTCGGATTCAGCAACGATTTCAACAACAGCTCGGATTCAACAGCAGCTCCCACCTAGCTTCGCTATGAATGCCCCCATATTTTATTCACATTTTTAACTTTTAACCCGGTTTCCTATGGGAAAAAGAAAACAAGAAACATTCACACTCTATACCTTCCACTTCTCCGGAAACTTTTGCGCATAGTAGTCTACTGCAACCAAATCTGAAAGAGCACTGACACTCTTTAAAGCAGTTAAACTCCTGCAACTGTTGTGAAAATAGGTGGCCGACACATAGTAGTCTACTGCAACGAAATCTGAAAGAGCACTGACACTCTTTAAGGCAGTTAAACTGCAACTGTTGTGAAAATAGGTGGCCGACTGGAGAGAACATTTTACTTCAACAAAAATTTATACCACATCTTCAGAGTTGACCCCTTCTCTGACTCTCTCAAGCTAGCTGTTTTCTTGGTGAGTGTCTCGTCATCACTCCATGCGATTGGTCTATCGAAGTCCAAGAGGATGCAGATCACCATGAAATACGTGTGCGCTTGTAAAAGCATAGCCTAAATAGTTACAGTGCTGTAAATAGAAAGTAAACAGCTG